TTGACTTGAAGCCATGCACATCGCCACTCTGTGCCTCAGTTTCCCTACCTATAACATGAACGCATTAACAGTACCTACTCATAGGGTTGTTCTAAGAATTGAGTTACTTTATCTATATAAGCACTCAGCACATTTCAAGCAAATAACAGTTGTATCATCCCTATTGAAGGCACAAACCCTGGTTTACCCCAGGAAGAATTCTGAACTTGAGATTCCCAGGTTCTTTGCCAGAATAGAGCTGTCTTATTGTATCAATAACCCAGAGCTTAGGCCCTTAAGTATCATTCTGTATTTCATGCCCATAGAACTTAGATTCTCACCTAGGACCATCTGCTGAAACATGAGTTGCCTGCCCTTACACCTGCACAAGTCAGACTTTCAAAATTTTTGCTCCAAAACAAAAGATTTTTGCCTTCAAATCATTCAAGAACAATGGCACCTTGCTCACACCCTTTATGCCCAGGCAGACAGGATGAGAATCTTTTTGCCCTCAGGTGTTGGGTCATGCCACTTACAAAGTGATCTTCTCCCCACAGAGCCCACAACCTCCACAAGTGTCTGCACACCCATAGGAGAGGGCAGTCAGAAGTCAGTTTTCCTACTAATCTTTTTATTTCACCCAATAAGAATATCCAGCTAATCTGATTTGGGTTTTAATTTTTTTTCCACCTCCATCTCAAGCACCAGAAAACTTTTTTTTTCACCCTGCAAGTCCTTCCAAGAGGGCTAAAAGCAAATGCACCTTGGCCAGGATGTAGCTGATACTGATTCAGCCATTATTCTGGGCCAGGAAGGCACCAACGATTCATAATTACCACCTCATAATGAAGGGGATATTATGATTAACCCCTTTTAAAGGATAAAGAAACTGAGGCTCAAAGAAACCAAGCCACTTGTGCAAAGCCAGCGGCTTGTAAGCTGTAGAGCGAGAACTTGAGTTCCCAAACCCCAGGGCTAGCTTAGAGCAAAGATTTTAACAGGAGGAACAGCAAGGGCTGCGCTCAGGGAACCACATTACCACATGCAACTGTCCCTCATTCACTTCCCCTTTCTCAGGGGACTTGGCCCCAGATGAAGCCCGTCCCACCAGGCTCCAGAGGGCAGACAGGGTGTGGGGAGAAGTTCCCGCGCTCCTCCTGGACGCTCAACATACAGGGGTCTGCAGGTTGATAAAAGCTCCAAAATAAAAACTCTCCAAATCAAGGGGCGGCACACAGTAGGAACTCGGGAGACTTACTGGGCCAGGTTGCCAAAGCAACAGAGCAGGCTGCACTACTCCCCTTTCTTTTCTTGTAAAGTTAAAAAAAAAAGGGGGGGCTAAATATCCTCAAAGCAGAAGGAGGAGGGCCTAAGGTGCTCAGGGTAAGTGGGTCGGTGCGAGGCTCGCAGAGATGTGCGGTTGCTGGGGAGCGGGCAGGGCGCCCCCCCTGGGCAGCCCGCGCGGCGCCTGGCTCATAGTAGGTGCTCCTTCAAACGCGCTGAATGAATGAATGAGAGGCGCGGCCGGCGTCAGCGCAGCCCAGTGGCCGCCCTGCCCGCGCCGCGCTAGCGGGCAAGGTCCAAGGAGAAGTGCCGGGCGCTGAGCCGAGGGCGCCCGAGGCCCTGCGCC